TAAAGCCACTAAGACACAAAAATGTATTGCTGTTTTTTCTTCAATAATGTATTACTTGTAAAAAAAAAAGTTTTCCAACAAAGTATTGCTTGTATTAAAACCTACTTTTACACTTTCATAGTGCTTTGAACCCAGTTTAGGGGTTAACTATTTGCCCATAGCTGGTAATACCACCCCGGATCAGGATGGACCTGGGAACACCAGCAATTAAGAGGTGGTTCCACGCTCCTCAAAACTTCCTGATCAGAGGCCTTGCTGCTGGACGTAGTTTATCGTCTTACCCAGCACGCAATTGTATTTCGCTACAGAATTATTGATCTAATCAGTATTGTCTTCGCGAACAAGGCTGCTGGTTCTATAGTAATTGAGACAAGACACAAGAATAAGGTATGCTTTTTTTCAGGGAAACGGGCAAGCCCTCGCCACTTAGCAAGAACAATCTGAATCTCGTCTTCGAGCAAAACAAAGAAAAGGTTATGTATTTCTTAATCACCAGAGATTCCAACTTCGATGTAGCATCTATCTATAAAACTAAAGTAGCGGGTGGGGGGGATATCGGGGCCGCTTTTGGAGGAGAGATTGCGAAAACTGGCTAGATTTTTTTGTTTTTGGTTTTTTTTTTTTTTTGCACCTATGAATACCTGTTGTTTTTTGGTGGTGGTAGTGGTGGGGGGGGTCTACATAAAACCTGACATTTGACATTGAATACTCTTGCCATATATGGTCTGGTGTCCCCACTGTTCATCTCGAGGTTCTCGACAAAATCCAGATACGGATATGCAATGTGATGTGATAGGTCCTGATCTGGCATCTCGTCTCCAGTCACGTTCTCACAGACATGATGTGGCTTTTCTCTTTTCTCTGTCTTTTCTACAAATATTTTCATGGCAACTGCTCTATTTTCACTGGTACCCCAACTGCCAGAATTTAAGCGTACTACTAGTTTAGCATCACGATCACGCCCTTTCACTGTCGAAACAGTTAAATGTAACCGCATCTTCTACACTAACAGCTTCTTCTCTCGCAATTCTAGACAGTGGAACTCTTTTCCCCTTACTTGCTTTCCTGATAACTATAATCTTCGAAAATTTAAATATAATGTCAATCGACATCTTCTGATGCCTTGATCCCTGTTCTTCTTTTAATTCCTTTCCTCAACACCCCCCCCTGTGCCCAGTATTTTCTCTTACTTCGACTCTGTGTAACACCTTGTGCACTATTAGCACTCCCGCCTTGCTTGGGGGTAAAATGCTTTAAAACAAACTATAGGAAGGGGTTGACAAATAAGAACCACTTGGAAGACCGGTGAAAGACAACGCCCATACCTACATTCTTTTTTTTCCTTGTGAGTAAGTTTAGATGGAAAAGAAACTCGGCTGGTCACAGAGATAAATACAGGTTTTTCACTTACCTATAAGACTCGGCCATAGATGCCAGCGGTTGATTGATGGTAGGATACATTGAATGCGGGAAACTACTGTTTATAGGAAGTCGAGTAGAACCGTTGGCTGCCTCCCGCCTCTGATTACGGAGTTTCTCTTCTCGGCGCCATTTTGCCCTTCGATTGGAGAACCACACCTGCAATGGTTGGAAGTGGATGGGGAATCGCAGGTAATAAAAAAAAAAATGGAGAAACAAAAAGAGATGTCATTAATAAGAAAAACAAACACAGGTGTTTTGAAAGGTAAAAAAAAAAAAAAAAAAAAAAAACACATTTAATTAAGATATTCGCAAAGTTTAGCATTTCGATTAAATATTATTTTACATTATTATAGTTAGGGAGAGGTCACCTTGGCGTGGTGTAACAGTTAGCAAGCTTGTCTCGCTAAAACAGTTACGACTGAACAGTGAGTTTGATCCTCACTGGGAGCCCCATACTTTTGGCCTTGTGCCACATCTAAGCTACGCTTGGAAACTCAATATTCTAGGTAGTGAGAAGAATGGCAAAGTGGAAAAAAAGTTTTCTTGTGGATCCTTTTGTAGGATCGAACGAAAGATGAAACGCGTTGCAGGAAACATTTTCTACTCTGACATAATATTTCCCGCTAAAATTGTTCTTGATATATATATACAGGTGGACTAATGGATAGCTGCATGGATTGAGGAATTGGAGTGCCGAGTTCGAATTCCAGTCGAATCCATTACATTCACTTACGTGCTAATACACTTGGGAAAGGTGTGAATCCTCTTCTTCTCCCTCCAGCTATGGGTAATTAGTTCTATAGCCTTGGATGGCAACTGATCTAGAAGGACAACTCTGAATTCAAACACTGCTGAGGGTCGTTTGAGAACCCCATGGCACATAGTGCACCAGGTTTCTGTATTCGGCCCTTCAAAATGTGTAGATGGTTCTGCACGAAACCTTCACCACTATAATCAAATTTCCGGTTTCCTGGGAACTGATCTGCTTGACCCTCATACGTCGTATTCGACGGGAGAATATATATATATATATATATATATGTGTGTGTAAATGAAAATTGAAGACAACACTCAGTGTTGACTCCAATGTTCACTTGTATGTATGTATATATATATAATGTTCCAAAAGCTGTCATAGTGATAGTAATTTTTGTGTGTATGTGTGCTGAACTAGAGAGAAAACTTGCCTGTGTCTGTTTTAACAAGATGCCTCTCCAACTTTTTATCTTTTATTTTATCTATATACATATATTTCCAGAAGGCAGCATTAGTTTTTGACTTTGGCTGTTGAGTACGATCTAAAATTGTTTTGGTGTATCACCAGTTCAAAAAAAAAGTCAAGAAAGTATCGAGAATTACACGACAAGTAGACCTGGAGGACACAGGCCGAAAGCATAAGTTTATAAAGGTAACTCACCTGTATACGGGCTTCGGGCAAGTCTATTTTCTGAGCTAACCTCTCACGTGCAAAAACGTCTGGATAATGGGTACGTTCAAATTCTAGCAGAATAAAAAGAAAACAAAATAAATTACATAAGTACAACATTTTATTTTTAATTTGCAAAGAATTTTTATGACGATACTTTATTCAGAAAATTGGTTTGAGTATATTTACAAAATGTCTTGTTGGTATAGGAGGGACTAAATATACAATTTAAAAGCGTTTTTGGATCTTTTCTGCTGATTCACCCCCACCCAAAATAAAAAAAAGAATTTATATTCACTAAAATTCACACCAAACCCTCTCAGAGCGAGGCCCTTTCATTGCACTCCGGTTGGGTTGACCTTTGCGATCACCCCAAATTTGGGCGACACGGGTGCGTTATTTCTAAGTGTGGGGTCTGCGTTCTCACTCACTCCGATAAACAAGCCAAAAACTGATTTTTTTTTTTTTATTTTGAAATTGTAAAAATTTCTTTGTAAGTACCTCGAATATCATCCGTACTTACGAAATGTGAATAACTCCCTGATATTTTGATAATTAGTTATTATGAGTGTTGGAGTTGTTGTGAGGCAAATTTGATTTCAAATTTATAATTTCAAAGGAGGGCCTTGTTTTTTTTTTTTTTGTTTTTTGTTTTGTTTTTTTACGGCAAAATCAAACCCAATGGGTTATTTAATGCCGACAAAATTTTTATTGCTGGTAATATTTTTTTTTTTTCAAATGTATTGTTGGTAGAAAATTTTCCTTCAAAAATCTTTTTCTAGTAATATTTTTTCTTCACAAATGTATCACTTGTAATATTTTTTATTTTCAAAAGAGTATAGCTGGTAATATTTTTTTCAAAAATGTAATGTTGGTTACCATATCATTATTCAACCATGTTTATTTGAAAATTATACATATATTATTTCTATTTATTTTATAATAATCATTTCTAGTTCTTTAACTTCTTGATATTAAGTTGAAATTCATCAAAGAAGGCAAAAACTATGGTGCCTTCCTTACTGAATTTCAACTTAACATCAAGAAGTTAATTATAGAAGTAAAAAACTTTATTATAAAAAAACAAATAGACATAATATGTCCATTATTTACATTATTCGGGCTATTGTCCTCATCTTTGTCGCCATATTTATTACAACGTTTCGGCCGTTGTACGCTCTGGCCTTCTTCAGTATCTGTCTATATTTCTGAGATGAGGTATTATGTACACTATTTACATTATTCAGACTATTGTCATCATCTTTGTCGCCATATTTATTGAACCGTTTCGGCCGTTGTACGCCCCGGCCTTCTTCAGGTGGTTGGAATGTCGAGCTGAACCCTTTATTTCGCTCAATCAAGAAGGCCGAAACGATGAGGACAATAGTCCGAATAATGTAAATATTGTACATAATACCACATCTCAGAAATATAGATAGATAATATGTCCATATTATTCCATTATATATATATATATATATATATATATATATATATAATGTGTGTGTGTGTGAGAGAGATTCAGTTCTTTCTTATAATGAGAGTTGAAGACGCTTATATATATATATATAACAGCTGATATGCACATTTCTTTTTGTTAAAACTATAGCTATTATTTTGAAAGAGGTAGTTATCGATTTAAAGAAAAGCAAATAACCATATCAGCAGATTTTAATAAAAGAGTTAACAAGAAAGACGATGTGATCGAATTGCTGATTGATCAAATATATTGATCTCTCCCTTGGAAAAAAAATCATATGATTTTATAGGTGCTATTTTATATTTATCCAGTTTGAACAAAATCGATTACAACTGAATAGTCCCACCGAAAACAAATATGACATTTTTATTGATTCCAGTATTTAGACCTCATATTTTTGTGACCATTGCTCAACACCCATGCTTTGCCTGAAAGTGCAGTTTTGTAGAATTCAAACTCATCTCCATGAGGAAAATTATCAGACGCTAAATAATGAAGCAATCTTTTCATGTTTGTTAGTTATTTTTTGTATTCAACACCTGACACAGGACCATTTTATATATATTTTTAAAATTTTCTTGATACATAAACTTTATCGTACTGTGTTTTTTAATCATCTTTCAATTTTGAAATATTTACTGACATTTAATTGATATCATTTGAACGGAGGATTTTATTTCCAAGGGAGATAATCGTGTCGGTGCGAAATAACTGTCCTTGTAAAGTGCTTTCCAATTATTTCTCTAAGTGCACCTTCGTTCATTTGGTCTCTCTCTCTCTCGTTTCTTCTCATTATTTTTTTTCTTCCGCCGCTCTTCTTCCTTTTCGTCATTTTCATTCTCTTTCCTTTCGTCCCATTTTTTCATTCTCTTTCTTTTCCTCACCATTTTTTCATTCTCTTTCTTTTCCTCACCATTTTTTCATTCTCTTTCTTTTCCTCACCATTTTTATTCTTTCCTTTTATCTTCTTTTATTCTCTCTTCCTCCTCTTCTTCTTCTCTCTCTCTCCCCTCCCAAATAATTTCTTTAAACCTTCACTTTTTCATAAAATCTCTACCTTTTTATCATTAATCTATCGACTTCCTTTCTTCTCCGACCGATCTGTTTTTGTAAAATGTAGTTTCCTTTTATTGTTTGTCTCTTTCTCTCTTTTTCCAACCACATCTCCCTCCCTTCAATCTCTTGAATCAAATTCTACAGCTTGATCTGTGTTCTCATTCAGCGATTTAAGAATCCATATTTTTATGTTAGAATTAAATGAAAACGATACTGTTTTTTTTCCTTCCTTTCTTTCATCCGCCACATTTCCTGTTTTCAATTATTTATTTTTATATATTTGAATATCTTACGCTTAGATTTCTCTGTCAATATTTTCTGATTTAACCTATTTTTTTTTCAGTATTCATTTAATTTTATGTCCTATTGTAAAAATTATTTTTTAAAAGTTTATTCATTTTTTTATGGATGATCGATTGTGCTTATTTTGTTTCTTTAACGTCTTTCCGTCGCTTTTTTCTCGTTCCTTATTTGCTTCAATTTCTTCATTTATTTTTCATTTTTATCCTTTCATTTACGATTTGTTATTCTCTTTCGCTAGCATTTTTTTATTTTTCATTTGCCTTCGTCTCTTTTTATTCTTTATTTTTCTATTTTCATTCTTGTTTAGATATTGCTTATTCAATTTTCATTCTTTCTTTTTCTTTCATTTTTCCTACATCTACCTTCGTTGTTTGGCTTCCAATTTTTATTCGTTCTCATTTCGTCATTCTCTTTCATTTTATGTTCGTTCATTTAAGAGATTTTTCTTGATTTTTCTCTTTCAATATACAGTCTTATTATTGTTTGTTCTTTTCTTTCGTATTTCTTTCCGTGTTTTATTCTCGTTCAAATTATTTCTCTTTTCTTTTTCTTTCCTGTCTTTATTTTGATTTCTTCATTCATCTTCATTTTTCTTCTCTTTCTCGTTCTTCACCTTGATTAAAATGTTTCATGTGGATTAGGGTCTGTCTTTTTAGTTTTCGTTTTTTATCTTCCTTCTTCTATACGTATCTTTCTTACTATCTACATTTTTACTCTCTCTAACGATTGCTATATTCATTTTGTCTCTTTTTTTTTTCCTATTATTTTCTCTTCGTCAAACTAAATCCTTACTCTTTTACTTCAAGCCTATATACTTCTTTCATTTTCTTATTTATTTTGTTTTTCAATATTACGTTTGTCTGTCTGTCTTTCTCACTCATACATCTTACAAATGCTGTTTTTTTACTGTCTCGTCTTAAAACTTCAATGAATCCTAGCTCTCAGTCTTTTTCTTCCTATATATTTTTTTATCACTCAACACTGACTTCATATATCATCTCTTCTGAAACCTTCCTCCTCGAACTCAATCAATTGTTCCTAAATTTCTTTTTTTTCCCCCTCCATTTTTAACTTCCTTGTAATTTTTTTCGTTCCTCTAAAACTTCATATTCCAGTTTTTGTATGATCCGTTTATGCTGTCTTTCTTCTTTTTTTATTTTATTTATACTTAAACTTTCGTTCTTTTTGGTAGGCATTTTCTCTCTGTACTTTCTTTCCTTTAAAATAATTCCATTTATTTATCTTGTCTTTGTCATTCTTCCATTTGTTTTGCTTTTGGTATCGTCTGTTTCTTTCAATAGGTCATCTCTCTCTCTCTCTTGTACTCTATTCCTCTTTGTCTCTCTTTCTGTATCTCCTCATTTATACAGTATTACTCTTTTCATTTCTCTCTCTTATTTCGCTCTCTTCTTACTGCTCCTTTTCCTATGTGCTTCCCATTTTAATATCTCTTATTCTGTCCCTTCTCTATATATCCCACATTTTTTTCTCTTATATCCCCTCCTTCACTTACGTATTACTCTGTTTTATTCCTCCTCCTTTTCTCGCCTGCTCTTCGAAGTATAGACTCTTTTTTTTTCTTTTCCAATGTTACCCTCTCTCTCTATTCCGGCCTTTACTAAATTTCTCTCAGCCTCCACCTACGTTACATCGCTCTCTCTTTCTTCCTCTATTATACCTTCTCTTTCATTTACATCTGGCTCTCTATATTTTTGTTTTCTTTCCGTTTACCCATTGTTTTAAGTAGTCTTTTATATCTTACAATACATTTCCCACTCTCTCTATCCTTCTATCGGCGGCTGATTCTCTCTATACACTTCACCCTCTTCTTGTCTTTCTCGTTTCTTCCTTTCGCTTCTCCCTCTATTTATTATTCTATCTCTTTCCTTTTCTTAAACATAATTCAAAAGAAAGTTAATATTGTTTTAGCCTTCCTTCGTAACAGAATGCCATGTAAGCTTTTTATCTGATTGTTGTTTTTTTTCTTTTTTTTTCTTTTAAATTTTCTTAATTTTTTTTTTAAAAAATGCTTCATATTTTTATCCACTATATTTAATTTTCCTTTTTGAAAAGTGTCTTCAATAATTTTATTTATTTTATTTTGTTCGTTTTGTTTTATTTTTGAAAGTTATTTTTTTTTTTTTTTACTTTTCTTTGTTATTTTTTTCTTTTAATTTTTAATAATTTATTAATTTTTAAAATATTTTTCGTGTTGGAAATATGGCCGCGTTTGAATTCCTATTCATATGGATTTAGCATTTCAAACATATATACTCACGTA